AGGCTGGACAGCCTCGGCGAATACTAGCAATACCAGTAATGACAGTAATGATGTTGGTTATGAAAGCTTCTGAGAGCCAGAGCTGTGGATTGAAGCCCGGCTTTGCTGGTCATTTCGTTTTTCAAAATGCTAAACCCTAAACCCGAGTAGTTTCCATTTTCTTTTCCATTATCCCTATACTAGCCCCTATATATCCCGAATATATACCCCTATTATATTATAGTAGTTTCCATTATCTTTTATCCCTATATAACCCCCTGTATATCCCTCGAGAAGCGGAAACAGATATGGCCAACGACACGCTGTGTGAGATTTCGCCGCCGTCCCCTTGTTGGGGTGCAAGTCTAAGTATTGGGGACTACGTGGAAATCCATTATATAGGGGGTATATTTGTAAATATATATATGTATATAGGGAATAGATAGGGTTATTATACAATAAAGGGATATGGGAAAACACGTGTTGCAGCAGTGCATATTTCGCACAGCAGGGAGGCCCTTTCTGATTCCGCACTTGCGGCTGCGCAGCTTCCCTTCAGCTTGACTGCACGGTCACTCGGGGAGTTGGTGAAGTCTAAACGCCGAGGGCTTGCAGCAGGCAGGAAGGTACTCCTTGCATCGGACGTGGCTGCAAGGCATCAATGCAGTCGTTCGCAGCTGTCGCTCTGGTTCGCAAAGAAAGCACGTAGCGAGCGTCACCCCAGAGTCATAAAGCAAAGGACACCCTGTCACAAAGCGTAAGTCCTCCAAGGTCATGCGCGACATAAGGGCAGGCAGGTAGTGCTGCTTAAACATGCAAGCAGAGCAATCTGATCAAGATCAGATGAGAAAGCCGTTGTAGCCGACCATGACATCTGGAGCCACGTCAGCGAGTCATTTCTCTCGGCAAATTTCTGTCCGGACCTTGAACTTTGAGCTCATGGTGAAAGCACTGTGCTTGGGCAAGGACTGCAAATTGACACTAACATGTAGGACCATTGAATTGCGCGCGCTTGATCACACGACACTGACCAGGATATCTTTGAGCAGACTTGACACATCCAGCAAGTGAATGGATGTCAGGAGGATGATGGGATGGGCCAAACCGACTCTTGACTGCAGAATGATTCCTCCATTTGCACTGAAGTTGACAGTCCATAATTCCTCGTTGTTGTCGGGCGCAAGCTCATTGGCTTTGATTGGCTTGTCTCTATCAGGAGATCTTTTCCGACAGCTCCTGACAATCCTCACTGGCGCTTGGGCGGCCGGCACATGGAGGCATATGGCCCCAAACAGAAGGGTCGTTTGCCTCCTCATCACAATAGAACTAGTAGACTTGAACTCTCTCAGCCCTGCTGAAGTACTGAACCCCATTATGGGGTCCATGCTAGCCGTTCTTTGAAGGCCTGGATTGTTCAGTTCGGGCTTAGATATTGAATAGGCAGGACTCAAAGGCGAGGACGTGTTCTTTGCGCCCTGTCTGAAGGCTCTGGCAGATGCTGCAAAGGAGACAAACTCTTGCTCATGCTGCTGCCTTGCGAGCATGCTGTTCAACTGCTTTTCAAGGAGCCTTCGTGCTCTCTGCTACTAAGGGACTAGTGGCATGCCAATGTGCAGATGCTGTGTAGTCGCTGTTTTTGTTTTTTGAATTAGGTGGAGGCTCACGTTCAGAGAGTCAACCCCGACGGCGAGTTTCAGTCTTACGACCTTACGGCGAGAGCACAAGCCAATCCGGTTCGAGGGGCCGTGGATGTACGGGAGTCTTGCACGCCAGGCCGAGATTGCAAAAATCAAGGATGTCACCACCGTGGAGGATGCGTGCAAACCACAGCTGCGCACACGAACAGACGCACATAATCGGAGGAAGCCATGTTCAGTTCAGGTTTGGACTTTCTGCTTTAGGAACTAATAATTTCGTCTAGATCAGTAATCTATTTTTTCATATGGATACATGTATATATATATATAGATAGCTACTTGGGATCCTTTGGGCTAGGAATCTTGGGACTGTGAAGCGTGCTCCATTCATCGTTGATGAAGCTCTTGCGTATGTCAACCGTCCCTCCCTGCAGCAAGTTTGCCCCACTGAGTTCTTCCAGTTCTATACCGCAACTTACTGGTTCTCAGTAGGGAATTGGGGAAGATAGTCCCTATTTCATCCCAAAAGAATATATTCTCATATTCTTTACTGAGTTCTTCCAGTTCAATACCGCATGCAATCACATGGCCGAGGCTGTTCCTTAAATGCATTTTGCTGCAGATCTTCCAGGAGCCACTGCAGGCCAACGGGGCAGGCGGGCGGTTCATTTGGCTTTAGCATGCTGCAGCGGTTGTTTCCAGGGGTCATTAGTAGGGAACATATGGGAATACACATGTATATATATATATTATATAGGGTTTCCAGTAAGCTGTTTTCAAGGTTCAGGTTGAGTGGAAGATTTGGGAGGAGGGCTTGTTAACGGCGGTGTGTGCGCGTCTAAGTACACGAATGGCTGCGGGCTTGTACCTTGCAGTGATCTCAGCCTGCTGGGGCGCTTGCGCATTCCCCCGGGCAGTTCCGAGACATGCATGCTCCTCCGTGTTGCTTGATTTGGTTGCGGCGGGGCGCGTTTGTCACAGGGTGCGGCTCTCCGCAGTGAGCAGTTCTTGGGCTTGGTAGGGAAGAGGGGAATATATTATGGGAGGCTTACATAGGGATTATATTCCCTTCTTCCCTACTAAGCGCTAGTTGTGTAAACTGCCCGCCTACAATTTTTATCTCCCCCACAGCAGTGTTATGCTTATTCCGCCTACTTCACTTGAACCACCAGTAAGTGAGAGCATGTTTTGCTTACTGGCAGGGTGGGCGTATGCCTTAAACCCTCAACCCTAATAGGTGCCCGGGAAGGCAGAGCAAGGAAGTCGTCATGTTGTCGTCTCCACTGCAGCCCTGCAGGCCGTACAGCATTGGATCGCAGCTGCTTACATAAATCAACATGGGCACATGGGCTCGTCGCCTAAGAAGCACACCGGCAAGCTACAATATCAGTCATGAAGCCTTGGGAGGAGTGGCGCTGGACGAATGGCATATTGCCCGAAGTTATCAAGGTAGAAGGTAGTGGCATATACAAACGCACAGGCTCGTAGGCTTGAAAAAGCTGCGCATCCCCAATTCTCAGCACATGTCAGCGCCCAGAAGAGGCTGTCTGATTCGCCCATGTCGTGGGCTGGGCGAAGGCCCATTTTCCCAGTTTTGTCGACGTTTTTGGTGGCATGGCTTGCCGGAGTTCCGGCTGCGGCCCTGCCACACGTGCTCCCGCGCCTGCCAGGTGCTTTGGCTGCATGAAGCTCACATTGCCAGATATTTGTGTGTGTCTGGAGCAGGCACAGGCAGTGGCATGCACAGCGCAAAGGCCAGGGGCCGGCGGGAAGGAGGCAGCAACTTTCTTTCAGTCCGCGCCTTTGTCTTTGCAGGTCTGCAAGGAGATCAGCCCAGAGGAGCTCTGCAGTCTTCCGCTGTCGGGGTGCTTCCGGCCCACGCGACTCGCCGAAAGAAGTCGGAAGACTCTGGGGAGAACTCCTTGTGTCGCGGTTCTGCTCTGCATATGCGGGATGTCAAGCGCGTCTAAGGAGCGAGGAGCTCCCGGAGGACTGCGACCTCAAGAGTCAGGGCCCTGAGGCCGTGATCCTCGTGGGCACCACTCTGCAATCTCGGGGCCGCCTGCGGATCCGGGGCCCAGTGCAGCTGCACTTGCGCCTGGACGCGCAGCGCCTTGTCCTGGTATGTTGCACTCATTCACAGCAAATTGGTCAAAATAAAGTCGTGTGGCCTTTCAGACGCGAGGTCTTTGATCTTCGAAGATGCAGATGTGGTGAGCTGGGGTCTTGGGGAAGCGACGAATGGAGGAGATTTCTTCGCCTTGGATCTGAAGATGAAGGATTCAAACGTCACTGCCGCCCGGCTTTTCCACGCATATCTACTGCTTGGCGCACTTCTGCCTTCCCAGTTCCCAGCCGACCCTAGCCCAGGTGAGAAACACCAGAGCAAGCAACCTGGGCGGTGCCTTGTGGGCACGCGATTTGAATCTTGGGCTCGGTTTTGGTGTTTTTTTCTGGGACGCAGGCTTGCGGGGCTTGTCCCTTGTCCTCTGCTGGCTACATCGCCCTTCAGGAGACTGGAGGGAGCTGTGCTCAAGATCCGGAACAGCACTGCTCGACGTGGTGGGGGTTTCTACGCGAAGAGGCTGAGCCTTGAGCCTTGCCACATCAGCTGGGCCTGATTGCCTTGAGTACAGCTCCCGCATGCTGTAAGGTCAGGCTTTTGCTATCTTTTGCTCAAGTGCAAACCTGTGCATGCAGGGAATCCTACTCTCAAACCCCCCAAGATCCCGAAGTCACGATCCCGCCTCTGAGGACCGGGCAGCGGTTGACGTTCGGTACACCGCCGCGAAGGAGGCTGGTGGGGGCTTCTGTGTCCAGGAGAATATTCTCATCACCGGAGCTTCCCAAATCACAGTGAAACACTCCACGGCCGGTCAGTCCGGTGGAGGCTTCATCAGCGGTGGCAAGGCAGTCATTGCCGGCGGCTCCA